CCACAAGACTGAAAACACAGGAAGTTCACTTTGACAGTTGATCATTGAAAACTTCTATTAACTGCTACAAAGAATAGTAACTAATGTTAGGATTATTATGATGTCTCTCTTATTTTTTGTGCCCCTGTGTGGCTCTGTTTGAGGCTGCGGGCTGTGTGATAATGTGTGAAAGCACAAGGTGGAAAAGATCAAGTCCAACTGACCTGAGAATAGCACTGACACCTTCACACTCTGCACCACGTGCGCTCATTCATGTATGTCTGTGTGAGTGAGAGAGTGGGAGACAAGAGAGGAGCATACCTGCATAAAAAGCAATACAACTGAAAAATAAGTTTTATCAAAAACAAGTAGATAGAGTATGTGGTGGACAGACGGGCAAAGCATGAGAAATGGGGTTAGGTGAGCGACAACATTTATTATGCCAATGCTTTATCTGCAGATACAAATCACTGGCTGTTATCACACTGAAGCAAACCCTGCTAAGACCCTGCACTTGGATCCATCTCCCTCTCGACACACACACACAAACATACACAGACACACACACCCATACATACACACCCATGCTCACACATACACATGGAAGCACGCATGCACATGTACACCCACATGCACACTCATGCACGGTAATGCACATACACACTTACACCTGTGCATGTGGGAGTGGGCGCTCATTGATAGGATTATAAACAGGACCATGCAGTGAAACATTCCAGTGTGCATTATCTGGAGCGGCTAGCAGCCTGTGTCTGTGCTTGAATCTTTGGACATAAAGTTTATACTTGACAGTGGAGAGTACCTGTTGATTTGCATTCTCACCAAAATATCCTCACAATATAGTTTTCAATAGCCATTCTGAGCCTATACTTAACAATTCAACTTTTCAGCACCATGGAGAGCGAACAGAGTGAATCATTAGCCGTAGAAGTTATTCATTTTACCCTTTACAGCTCAAATCTTATAATCTCCTATTATGTAAAAATGGCAACAATTCTCCACTATTGCAAAGAAACTGAATATGTGATAAATACTAAAGTATATCATTCCAGAATCATGTTTAGAAAATAAATTATTATTAATATTATTATATAGAAATGTTGTGTATGAAATTCTAAAATGCTAAATAGCTCATTAACTTGACATGTTTCGGCAGTAGCACTTCCGCCTTGATCAGAGATGTCAGCTGGCTGCTGTGACGTGACCCTTATCGTGTGTTGTTCCCAGATGTGGTCGGTTTGACGGATCTAGTATATCTATCTGACCGACCATGCCTACCATTGCATGATGGTCTCTGGAGAAGCAAGTTCTATGTGTGAGCCAAGGTAAACGCCCCTCGTCTCTGTTGATTGTCCGTGCTTTGGTAGGCATGGTCAGGCTGATAGGTATGCCAGATATGTCAACCTGACAGGTGATTAAGAGAAACGTCACGACAGCCAGCTGACATCTCTGACGAAGGCGGAAGTGCTATTGCCGAAACATGACAGGTAAATAAGATATTTAGCTTTTTAGAATTTGTCTTATCAGAAGAAAATACAACGTTCATATATTGTTCCATATATTGAACAGTCGATATAGTAATTATCGTGTCACGCCTAGTCTGAATTGCATGTGCTGCTTAATACATGAAACCCCACTTTAATACCAGTGTTGTATTAAAATGACTCCTGTAGAAATTCCCACACCCCAATTCCTCACTGCTATGCCCAGGGTTAAAATACTGTGACTTTGAAAATACATCTAAAAGCTATTCCACAGACTCAAGGTGATTCATCTAATCACTTACCGTGTTCTTGGGTGGGTGTCACCCATGAAGCACCCTTAGCCACACACACACAAAAGGCAAACATGCACCTTAACACATGATCTTTGCCTTACTCTTCTGTGAGTTAAAACACATGCTATCATTTAAAAACCACACCATAATGTCCACCCCTGCTCTTCAAGGTAGCATTTTGTCCCCTTAACAAACTACTTACACATTCGCACCACTCCTCCCCACATATTTTAGCATCTAATAAGGCTAGGTATGAAAGCTTGTCGGCATTCCACACACAGTTCTACAGTATAGTTTCCTGACCTGTATACTCCAGCTAACAGGCCAAGCACCTCACTTTTCTTGCTCTTTACCCTAGGCAACTATAAGGTTAAACCTCTGAATTGAAAAGTAATTGACAAAGTGGGAGGTGGAAGTCTTTTTGTATTCACAACATATTCACAACATAAATAGCTCAGAATACTTTCTTTTTTTAAAGTTTTCTCTGAGAAAAAAGAATGACGCTGATTGAGGAAAATATGATTTACAGGGTAGTAACCCATTTTTAAAAAGCTACTTTGACACCAATTTAAACTGTAGCTAATTATTTTTGTTGATACTCCATTGAACTAGAAGAGGTCAGAAGTACATTAGCTGAAATATATCTACTGTCAGAAAAAGAGAGAAAGAGAAAGATGGAGAGAAAGAGAGAGGGAGTGTTGCTGGCAGCAGTGCCATCTTTTCACCCCTAATTCTTTCCACCTTGTTAGGCACTCTGCCGTGGGCCGGGCAAATATAAACACTCTGGCAGCGACGATGAGGATAGAGGGAGGGCTGGCTGGGGAGAGGGCCAGTCAAAAGGGTGTGGAGGAATGGAGGGAGAAAGGAAGAGGCCTAATATGATGCAGCTTTAGATAAGGTGGAGGAGAATGTAATAAAGCCAAGTGAGGCGACCCAAGTAGACTAGCCATAAAGGGGATGTAAGGTGAATGGCTGGAGAACCAAGCAAGCATTGAATGAAGTGATAAAAGAAGGTAAAAAAGCTGACAAAGGGTAAAAGAAAATGTTTTTTCAGGGCAATGTATACGAATGCACAGTAGGAACCACAGATTTTTTATAGTTAAAATATAATTTTCATAAATTAGTACGAAACATTTAAAATTACATGTTTAGAGAGAAATGTCAGAATGATCAAACAGTGGCACTGAATCTAGATAAGATCTTGTAAACTGGCATTTCCAATAAACGTGGTTCTCGTTCTGTGCCAGCCACTGGCGCCCCGGGCCATGTGCTGGTTGTCGTATGGACTTTGGCAGTATCGTCGTGGTGACAGAGACAGGAGCAGATGTGACTCTGGTTGCCGGGCGTTTGGCAGGAGCACTCATCGTCATCGTGACAGAGATGCAGCTGGACGGCACATCATCTGTAGCTGTAGTACAGTGTTTTGGTGTGTGTGTGTGTGTATGGGTGTGTGTGCGTGCGTATGCGTGTGTGTGCGCGGAGAAGGGGTGGGGGGGTTGGCATCGGGTGAACTCGCCTCACCCACCAACCCGCACACAATCTCACAGTGACCCCATGCACCCTGGGGGGACTGCAAGTGCACAGCCAGTAAGCAGACAGGAGAGGGGTGACGTACCACAGCAGTGTGTGTGTTCTAAACAGGCAGCAAAAAGTGCCATCAAACATACAAGCTGTTTTCTCCCCTTCATCTCAGTTCCTTTTCTGGAGGTATTTCCATCAGTTTTATTCCGTGAGTCTGTAGAGTTGTAGACAAATGGCTGTTTCAGGGGCTAAATGTTTGAACTTGAGCAAGGAGACCCAAATTGACACACTTAGGGAAAACAGAGTCCTCGGGATAGCATTGTGGGAGAGAGAAGAGGGGTTACAGATGGAAGTATTACCCAAGACATCTGTAATGTGCACACACCACTAAAGAAAACAAACACAACAACTGGCCAGCGGATATTCACTGCTGCTCTACTCATTCAGTTGTGGAGCTTCTGCGTTTATGCCTCTAAAGCTGTTTCACTTTTTCTTTCATTTCAATTTACAATCCAACATAGTGAAGTTGAAGCTAATTTACTATATTACACTTAGCATTGTGTGTAAATATGATATGTTTCCAGTTTGTGTAGCGGGTGTATAGAACTTGTGCCTGTCAGGGATGGGACCGCAGCATTTTGGCAGTGCTCTGACATTTCCTGCTCTGACATCTTGTCTCAGTTCATCTCCCGTGCCAGTGGATGGACAGAAGCCCTGGAGGGACATACACAACAGCACCAGCAACGCAAACTTGTCTTTTTGTCAGCACCAGCAAAGAGCTCTTCAGTACATTAGTCACAGTAAACCACACACGTATGTCGCACACATACATCCTTCTCTCTTTGCCTATTGTTGCTGCTTTTATATCTGAAATGGAAGGAAAGACATTTTTAACCTAATTAATTAAAACAAAGCTCTTTTTTGAACTTTGAATATATGTTGTTAATACTTATATGATCCTATGCAGTACATTGTACAACAATGTGATACCGTCCTCTTAAGTAAAATGACAACAGCTGTTTCAGCAGATGTCCAAATTCTAAATATGTTTCGGCAGTGATGTCCTCTGGTGTTTATCAAGAAAGACAAAGACTGGTGACAGCATTATGGAGGCTCGAGCAACCATGGGAATAATGTTGGAATGAATGAAAAGAGAGACAAAAGTGAATGCCAGATTTTACAAGAAAATGGCAATATCTGACACAACTGGGAAACCCAACGCTGCTACGCTGTGTAAGGGTTAATGATGAAGTGAACGCAGTCACCTTTTGCCAATAAATGTCTTCTGGAAATTGGATGTGTTTACACAATGGACAGTTGGAATAGTTGAATCTTTTTTTTTTTTTTTTTTTTTTTGGAAAGAAACCAAACAATTTCCAGCACATTTGGACATTCAGATGGTCACAAGATGATTTCCAGTTATAATGAAAAGTGTGTATTAAACAGTATTTAAATTATATTTTAATTGATGACAATATTATGTCACTGCAGTTAGTTATTTAAATTGGCCACACAAAAATTCTGTATTACTATTTCTGTTTACAATAGTCCCAGTGTTCCTCATTTATTTTAAGATATGTTTACGTCTGACCAATCTTTATAAACCTCTTCCTATAACATAAACATTTCTTTGTTGCTCATCACTATCAAATAATTTAACATGTAACTCTTCTTGCCATCTCAAATTCTCCCTCCTTTCTTCCAGACAGAGCCATCTTTACCCCAGTCTCACATCTCGGGAGTCTCCTACAATCTTTACGAGACTCTGGAGAGCTTTGACATCTCTAAATGAAAAGGCTCTCTTCGCAGTACTGCAACAGCTGACGATTTATGACAATGAGGCCTCGCTGGAATCTTAGCTGCTGTCAGGCGGCATAATGATGTTTTGATATAAAGATGATTGGTGGGGCTGCATGTGCTGCATTGTGCATTGGGCCTGCAGTCCATGCCTCTCTGTGTGTGAGGCAGATTGGGTGATTTAAGGTGGACACTCATGCATCGTTTACTTGTTGGTGTCTATTGTTTAGCTGTTTACACCTTGAAAAGTGGCTTATTTTCCTACTTGACATTTAGAATCCCCTTCAACTACGCCTCCTCTCAGTGATTATACTGGCTTGGATTTTGGGTAGCAGTAAGTGTGCTTTTTTAGACATAATTGTTTTTTGTTTTTTTTGTAATGACCTCTGAATGATTAAAAACATGAGTTTTACTTTGTTTTTTGACCCTAATTACCCCCCTCAGTCTCACTGGTGACAGGCAAACTAGTTGGCCATACTTTCTATTAGACGACCACTGCATGCTTGAGGGCCCCCATAGATTGGTTACATTTTGTTCACCAGGGCATTAGCGGGCCCCGTCGAAGGGCCCCATCATCATCAGTGTGTCTGCCATCTTCTGCCGATGATCTATGATTCGCCCATCAGACATACATAAATCAGCCTGCTAAAAGGATTTCTGCTCTACCCCTCACCCCCCCTCCTTTTAAATTTATGCTGCCGTAAAAGAAAGGAAAATTAGTCATTGAGGAGCCCCCCTTCAGTCTTCTATCTCTTTCGCTCTATTCACAAGATGTGTAGCTGTAAAAGAAGAAAGCTGCGGCACCCAATCACATGTGGTGCCCATCAACCTTTCGCTTCAGCCTCCACCTCCTCCTTTGCTCTCTAATATCATCATTATCAGAATCATAAAGCGAAAAATAACACGCCCTGCTTTGGAGAGGGCGGAGTGTATTCGAACCAGTCTCTAATCCATTGCATTTTTCTTTTGCTCTCCCCAATCACCCCTTATTTTTAAGCCTGCGACTGAAGACTTCATAATTACTTCAATTATCCAAGCACCATGCACAACTGTACTTTTATACACCTACGAATGTTTAACACATTTTGGCCATGTGCATGTGCTGCTGTGTTTCCCAAAGTGTTTGTGTGGCTCCACTGTTAAATGCAAATCAGTGAATCGGCCAAGCAGAACGCCTTTCAAATCCCATCGCCGCTCCGCTCTGCCCTTCCTCTCCCAGAATGCAGTGCAGCACAGCAGACAGGTAAGGAGTGCGGCCAGTGCGTTGTTGTGGGTGACTGCTTGTGTTATTGGCCCACAATCTACTCATTAACTCCCCGCTTTACTCTCTGTCTATCAAGAGTCTCTCAATGAGGGTTTGCCTGTCTGTCACTGTAGTGTATGAGATGGTTACAAAAAAGTCTAGGCTCCTGTCACAGTATTTACATTTGTTGGGTTGGGTCATTTTCATGAAGTTTCAATTTTTTTCTAGCTCAGTATTTTATTGCACTAAACATGCTTTCATTAATTCTAGCAAAGCACTGTCATTAATAAGCAAGTGCTCATTTAATATTTATTTTAAAGTCGATAAATTCACTTTTTTCCTAGAACTTTATTCATCTGTCACTTTATCAGAACATAGGTGCACAGGGAAGGGTTAACTTATGTCAAAGCTGTAGAAATGAAGGCGAGAATGAGGAAACAGGCAGAGAGAGAGGCTGCTTCTTCACTACTTGTAGTAATCCTGTCTTTGTATGACGCTAATCATATGTAAATCCGCGTTGTAAAGTGATTTGGTTTTCCTCGCGTTTGAAATAATTATACAGGCTGCGCTTATGGAGAAAACCTCTTCAGTTTCAATTGGAACATGGTTTTTCTGTTGTCACTGCACAGGAGTATATTGGATGGTGTCTTAATCCGACAGACCTGCCTGTTTACTAACAACAAGAGACTAATATCATTGTCATTGTCAGGCGCTCTTATTGTTCATTTGACTCAATCATGTTCGGGAAGGTTACTTTCAAGTTGTAGCTTATTGCAGAATACTGATTATCTGCTTAACACTGGCTCATTTCTTCTTAGTGTGGTCCTTCTTTCCTAGTTTGGAGTTAGGAATCAACAGCAATATATTTAATCTATCACTAAATATTTATTATTATTGTAATATAAAATAAAAACAAGTCTAAGTCACATTATTGTAGCTGTAGTAGTATTTATTTGTATAGTTGAGATGAGACTACATTACAGTTTTTCTCCTTTGGTTTGGTTCATTTCTTGAAACAGAAATTACATTCTTAAAACTGGAAGATCATTTGGCCAAACAGTCTGATAGTTCTACACAACATTACAGCTCACCAGCAAAAGCTCATATCTCTGCCAAAACTGCTCACACATGCTTCAAAACAGATTCTTTTCCCATATAAAGAGTCAGTACCACCAAAATTGCAAAGATCCTTCTCAACTGCTTCGGCTCTTTTTGCATTCTCTTAGTTCTTTTGTCAAAATAACCTGGATGGTTCAGCACAACACCATGGATCACCTGCAAAACCTCAGATCTGTCCCAAAACAGTTTACCCATGTGTCAAAACTACATTTCTCTCTCATAGAAATAGTCATTGTCCCCAAAATGCATTGTCCCTTTGGCCTTGTGTCAGCACTGCAGGTCAAAATGCTTAGATGTTTTGTCACTATGGCAGAGGTCTAACTAACACAATAAAATTATGGATAAAAACTGAAAAAAAGGGATTTCACAGTAAGAGCAGCCTCCAAAGTTTGACATCACACACACTGCACTCACACTGCCAACCATTTTATTCACACACATAAAGTCACTTCCATACATCAGAGTACATAAAAAGAAAATGTATACAGTATTCTGTACATGTACTAAGTATAAACAACAACAAAAAAGAGAAATTATATCTAGCCTACAGTGCTGTAAATAAAGCAAATAAAGTTTCTACAGTAACACTTTCATTGGTTGCAGTCGTGATCCTCCCTTTGAGGGAAGAAACTGCGCAAATGTCTTATCCCCTCCCCCTGTGATGTCCTCGCACGGAGCATCCATTCCATGGAGCAGGGACCTCTGGTCTGGAGCCTGATGTTCATAAACTCTCCACCTCCATGTAGAAAAAAACTCAACTGGATTGAGAAAAGGAGAGTACGGTGGTAGTAGCTCCATGAGTATCTTTAGATGGGAAGTGAACCAGGCCCTGATGAGCCACATTGGAAATTTACACTGTCCCACATGGTCACATAGTGTGATAGGAAGTTCTAATTTCACCTGACTGTCAATTACTGTCATGAATTTTTCAAATGTTCCAAAAAAAATAAATAAATTATATACGGTGTTCATGGTATCATGTTCTTGACTAATTTTGACAATTGAACAGACTATTGTGCATATGATGATCCAGACAATGAAATCATGCTGACATGTTTTGGAGAGAACAACCATTAGACTGAGAATCAACTAATCAGTTTACATCAGCAAGATCTATTTATTTGGAAAATGTGCTAAATGTGGGCTCATTGTGCTAACTGTAGGCAACATGTACAGAACCATGTGCAAAGATGCACTTAGACAGTTGAGACATGCACTAAGACATTTGCAATTTGATGAAATCAATGAGAAATGTCATTCTGTTGTGAATGACTGCAAGGTGGTTTGGAGATTTGTCCATGTTGTTTTGAGAATGTCATTTCTGTTTCAAGAAATGAGCCAAACCAATGGAGAAAAACTGTAAGTTGCAGTCACTGAATGGTTAAATTGAGCAATTTACATCTGTTAAACATTCGACTAGGGCTGCATCACAGCTCATGATTCATGAATCAAGATACAATATTATCATGATATGGTGACACATGTGATGATATATTGCACATTATACTCGCTGATGTATTGCTGTTTTTTAAGAATCAAAAACAGTTTAGCAACAATATTTCTTTGTTAAACCAAGACTTGTGCAAAATTAAAATGTGTATAAACATCAAAGCATCTAAACAATTAAAATGTCATGTGTATTGCGTAAATAAGTTTCCCTAATCAAAATAAGCAACAAAATTATAATGTGGTCACAAAAAAAAAGGTTTAGTATCATGATAGATTGATATTTCAATATTTTGCACACCCCTACTGTAAACTAAAATACTAGTTGAGCACTTATGGCCTGTTGAGTGAGAGGTTGGTGTTAGAAAATGATCTATATTGTACAACAACAACCATGTAGTATTATAATAACAAATTCCTGGAAAGCATACTTTGCACAGATATTCTCATACACACATACAGTAATAACACTCCATAGAGGACAGGATCAGTGGAGGCAGATGAGAGGGCAGGAAGAAGCGCTGAGCAGAAATTGTGGCATGGGGTTGTGTCAGCAGTGGAAGAGAGGCGTAAGGGGGAGACCAGGTATCACACATTAAGACAAACTCACAGGGTGTGGTTATATTTACCTGGGGAAAGGCTTATCTCTGCCACAGCTGTGAGGCTAAAGGAGGCTGTGACCTCACCTCCTCTCTCTCACCCTGCTCGTATGTGTGTGTTCACCAACTCACCGAGCGCTTTAACCCCCGACCCCAGGCCCACGGCACGTACCAACCATCACAATCTTCTCTGTGTGGCGCTATTGAAAGCTTTTGTCTTTTACAACTTGGTTCAAGGAGAAAACATTTACTTCGCTTCAAGACAAGAATAAAATAATGTCTTCTGATTTTCTTGTTTTGTTTAGTTTTTTTTCAGAATGATGTGCTTTACATTTATTTTCAAGCATTTTCTTCTGCACAGGGTCCCCGCCAGCTTTCAGGGAAACTTCACGGAGGGATCTGAAATTTGAATAGGACTTTTCTTATGCCAGATGCCCTTCCATCTCTGTCTCTCTTAACATGAGTTTGTTGCTATCAATGGCTTCTTAAGCAACTACTAGCAAAATACACACTGTGTTTTGACCCAGTGAAAAAAATTAGAGTCCTCACCATAGGGCCAGCTTTGAGCAGGAAACCTATAGGTGATTGCCTAGAGCCCCATCTGCTTTAAGTGAACCAAATTGTACTCCAAAAAAGCCTTGGGCACCACATTACCTAGAACCAGCTCTGCCTTACGAAGATCAAACCAACACAAATAA